CATCGCTTCTCCGAGATTCTAGGATAAATCCCGATAAAGGCTGGGAGAGGGTGAACGACTGTAGAGTCTCATTCTTGTTTATGAGATCAATTTCAACAATGAGTTTTTCAAACCTTTGAATCAGCTCAACAGTTCTGATTCTCTTCTCAGTTTCATCTTGGGAAGCTGGGATGTCGAGGCTGACCTTGGGAGTAGATGGTGGACCATTCTCTTGTATCATGGGAAGAAGACCAGTCCTTTTAGAGTTCAAACTTTCCACCACCGAGGTATCATGAGTAACGCCTTCGGTGGGTTCGACTTCCGTCTCATTTGTGACACCGGGACTGCCCCGCAGTGGTACTTCCCTACTTAATAGGTGTCTAGGGGAAACTGGTTCGGGGCCATGCGCTGCCTCAAGTTCAGTCTTCCCAAAGATGTCATTGGTATCGGTGCCCCTACTTGAAAGGAGCTCAGGAGTTTGATCGGGTGATGGCCGAACTGGCTCATGATTGATGGGGTCACTGGGGTCAGAGTGGCTCTTTGCCCCATCTATAGACTCTCCTTCGTCAAGAGTCAAGCTTGGATCTTCATGGATAACCGGCTTCATGATGCCCTGATCAATCTTTCTGGTGTTTAGCTCACGCCATGCTTTTCTAGCATCTTCCGCATCAAGGGGAATGAGAGGGGAGGAAGGGTTATCATCATTGGAAGAGAAGTCTTCAATGACTTTCTTTCCTTTTCCCCTAAGCTGAGCCTTTAATGTCTTAGTCTCTTGACCCCATTTTTGGGCCCGACCATGATCTCCCATCTTTATGGTCAGGTAGAAATGTCGTCAAGTGAAGGAGAACTGTTCTTCATACCCGTTCAACTGATTGCCATTGGGACTAGGTGGAGTGCTAGACCCATGCGTGTGTGCACAGTGCAAAGGTGTGCTTAGGGTGGGCGGGGGGATTGGCATGTGTGCGCCGTCTGCAAAAGCACTTTGGGTGACCTAGTGGTCAACCTGAGCTCGAGTAGCGTGTTTGGCCTTAAGGGGCTCGGTGCCATGTGTGTGTGATGGGATGGCCAGGTGACTATCCCTCATTGAGTGAACAGATATGTGCCAGGAGGGAGTACTAAAAGGTTTCCCCTCATGTGCTTGGGCAAACGCCGCAATAAGGCTGCTCTGAGCGACGTAGTGCATATGCAAGGGGTGTGCAGGGTTGACTCCAAGAAGAGCCGAACCCTGACAGTGTCCCGAAGTAACGTGAGGGTTGCTCCAAGTGGTGTGATGTGCATGCAAAAGAGGTGCAGGGCTCGGTTCATGAAGACTCGGACCCTGACAGTGTCCCGAAATAACCTGAGGGTTGCTCCGAGTGATGGAAAATGAGAGGTAGCCTCTCGGCGACCTGCAGCAGCAACGACAAATGAACTACCAGTCACAGGAGAGGGAGGGGCCGCCTCAGGGCTGCCTCATGCAATGGGACTAGCAAGTGAATTGTCGATAGCAGGGTGCGTGCTGTGTGTGGTGGCATGTGTGCCACCAATGCAGGGGTTGGCAGAGGGTCCACCATTGCAAAGAGGTAGGGAGCGAGAGACTTTTAGGTCCATCCTCACCTCTTTTCAAGTGATGAACTGGGAGCGTGACACAGGTATGTGTATAGTGAGCAGGAATAAAAAGAAAGGAAGGCCAAACAAGAACAATCCAACGATGGGGTAGCGTGGCTCTTGGAGAGTAGTTAGGTGTCTCGATCTTGCCCTCCGCATAGAGCTGACCTGGTGGCATGGTTCCGGGTTCGAGATGGACCCAAGACTTGAGATCGCTCTCTCGGGAACCATGTAAAGAAGACGTGGGCAAGAGTACCAACCAGTGAGAGAGGAATTTGGGTCGTGAGGTGGGACTTACCTCAAGTGGGTTCGTGACACGTTCGGGCTGGTTCGTGTGGGCACCCTCTTAGATCACGTTGGAGTGCCCCCTGGCCTGTGGCCAGTTTGAAATCGCCTCCCTTGACCTGTTTTTCCTATCTTGCAAACACACAAACATAAAAAATACAGAGGTGTGGGTCATAGGACCCCACCTAGCTATAAAGAGATAAAAGACGTAAAAATAAGAGAAGAAGTTCAACCGGACGGCTAGGCTAGTACAGTTGCTAGACCAGTATGGCTGCTGATTTTGCGAGGTAGCAAGACGGGAACGGTAACTCAGACTGGCACAGCGGCAATACTACTCGACGATAGAACCAACACCGACCAGCCTAGCACGATGGTGAGTCTGATGTGGCAGCAAGACAGGCACGGTAACTCAGACCGACAGGGTGGTAATATTGCTCGACGACAGAACTGGCACGATGGCTAGTCAGACGCGGCAGCAAGACTCGTACGGTAACTGAGACTAGCACGACGACAATACTGCTCGACGACAAGATTGGCACGATGGCTCAAGGCTCAGCCTGTGCTCTGGTGAAACAACCGTTGGAGAGAAAAAGAGAAAGTGAAGACTAGCTCGATTCTCGCTAGGTCTTCTAGAAAAGATGAAAGTGAAATAAAAATGATGATGAAATAAGAATGATGGAAAACAAAGTGAAATGAAAATGAGAGAGATGAATTAAAATAAAATAAGATTAGAAGATGAGGTTAGAATGAAATAAAAATAAAATGAATAAATTAAAATAAAATGGAGTAAAGGAAGATAAAATAAAAAGGATACAAGAAAATGAAATAAAATAAGATGGGGTAAATAAAATAAAAGAGGTGAATGAAATAAAGTAAAATAAGTAGTTAAAATAGAATAAGATAAAGAAGATAAGATAATAAAAGAAATAAAATAAAATAAAATAGGATTAGGAAGAGTAAGTTGAAATGAATGCGCTAGAAAAAATAGGATGAAAATAAGCTGAAATAATATAAATGGATGAGGTTGATTAAAATAAAATAATAATAAAAAGGTTTAATTGATCAAGGGAGAAAGGGCGGTTTTATTACTAGGCTCTTGGGTATGATGTGAATAGAAGGAGATAACGTCGGATAAGAAAAAAAAGGAATAGATTTAGTTTAGAAAGAGAGGGAGAGTTTTCGTTAGGTTACTTGGATGAAAACGAAGTCAATGAATACTCCAAACGAAGAGAAAGAGGGGAAAGGGAAGAGTAGATTTCATTTGGACGTTTAGAGAGAGAGCAACGGGAGGAGCTAGCTCACTATTGGGTTTTATGTGAGAGGACGAGACGAAAACGAAAGTCACGAAAACTTAACACTAAAAGAAAACAACGAAAAAGGGGAGAGTGGGTGGGTTTTTGTTTAGAGAGAGAGAGAGAGAGCCGAAGGCAGGGTGAAGGAAGATAATGTGATGTAAACAGGGAGAAAGAGTAGGGAGAGAGACCTGGACGAAATAACGGGAAAGGAGGGGGAACGAAACATTGACGAAAAAAAACCAGTGAAACGAAATTAGAATTGAAGGCAAGTGTTTTGTTTGTGGGTTTTCTTTGGTAGATTCTTAGAGAGAGAAAGCTGAGAGAATGGGGAGTGCGCGAGGTTTCTTAAGGTCGCAGAGGGCAGCAGGAAGACGAGAGTAGAAGAGACGGAGATTACTGGTTGCGAGGTAGCGGAATTGATCGCAATTGGGTGGCTGAGCAGCCGAGGATTAGATGGGTGAGAGACCGACAGAGAAATTGGTATGGCGGAAGTAGCAGCCGAGGTTCGGAGGACAGCAGAGAGAGTTGGTTGAAGAGCAGTAGCGTGGCTGCAGAGAAGAGGAGAGATAGAGCAGCAGAGGTGGGGTGATAGTGGAGGAGGAGGAGGAGGGAAGAAGGGAAGCGAGGGAGGTAGGCGTTGGGCTGCTGCTCTGAGTTGGGGTGGCGGAGATGGCAAACAGGCAGCCGCCTAGCTCAGTTGAGTAAAGAGAGAGACAGGGGAGGCAGGGTAGCAGGCAGCAGAGGAGAGAAACAGACGAAGAAAGAGATGGTGAACAGGGGTACGAATGGTGGTCAATAAAGAGAGGGGTGCAAAGAGAGAGGGCGGAAATGGTTACTGCCTGTAGCAATAGACTAAAAAAAGGGAAAGTGGAAAGAGGGCGATTGAGGAGAAGAGAGCAGAGAGAGGGCGTGCTTCACGTTGGGTTTTTAGAGAGAGAAAGAATGGGAGGTTGCACAAGGAAAAAAAGGTAGGAGAGAAAGGGGGAGGTGAGAAAAGGCGGAAAGAAAGGGGAAGGCGAGAGTAGATGGGAGTAGGTGACAGGGGCAGAGAAGAGAGAGGCGGCAACAGAGACTGCTGCTTGGTTGCGAAGAGTTAAAGAGAGAGGGTAGCAATAGGAGAGAGAGAATGGAAACGGTAGGGATGGCTGTGACGAGATGGTTGGGCAGCAAAAGGAAGTAGAGATGGCGCGATGTGGTGAAGAGCAGGGTGACAGGAAGACGAGGGTGAGGTGGCTGGTGAGCGGCTGAGATGGAGAGGCCAAAGAGAGTGGAAGGCAGGGTGAAGGAAGTTACGTACAGCCGGTTGTGGTCACGGGCTCGGTGGTGAAGAAGGGATCGTAATAAAAGAAGGGCATGAAGGCATGGTAGGTGGGCTCGAGGGATTACGAAAAAACATAAGGAGAATAGGGAGCAAGTGATCGTACAGGGGTAAAGAAAAAAAAAGGAGAGAAATTGTGGTTATGGGATATCATAAGGAGGGATAGGAGAAGGTTGTAGTTGTGAAGGACCACTGAGAAGAGGGAAGAGGAAGGTGGTGGTCATGCAAGACACAAGGGAAGAAAAGACAGAAGAAGAAAAGGAAACGGGCAAAAAAGAGGAGAAATGAGAGAGAAAGAGAAGAGAGAGGAGAGAGAGGGAGAGAGGAGAGAGAAGAGAGAAAAAAAGAGAGAAGAGAGAGAAGGGAGGAAAGAGGAGAGAAGAAAGAGGGAAGAGAGAAAGTAAAGAGAGTAGAGAGGGAAAGAGGAGAAAAAAAGAGAAGTGAGAAAGTGAGAAGTGAGAGAAAGAGGAAAGTTATCTTAACCGTAACGGTACTGACTTAAAAATTTCGGTCTCCTTTTTCTCTCTCCAAAAACATGACCCACAATGTAGAAAGATAGCAATTTTATTCAGCCAAATAGGTCCCTTGTACAATGATATCACCTGATATATATACTCTCATTAAAAAATAGGTAGATTGGAATAATCAAAATCTACTTTAATTGTTGAAAATTACAATTTAATTTAATTAAAAGAAATTGTAAAAATGAGGTAAAATGATGATTTTGTCCCTGTTCAACAATATAAAAAATTTCAAAACAATCCCTGTTACAATTATGGAACGTGTACGATTTTTCTAGGCCGATTTGGGGTTGCTCCGGCTTCATGATGCCCCGATCAATCTTTCTAGTGTTTAGCTCACACCATGCCTTTCCAGCATCTTGCGCATCAAGGGGAATGAGAGGGGAGGAAGGGTTCTCATCATTGGAAGAGAAGTCTTCAATAACTTTCTTTCCTTTTCCCCTAAGCTGAGCCTTTAATGTCTTGGTCTCTTGACGCCATTTTCGGGCCCGACCATGATCTCCCTTCTTTATGGTCAGGTAGAACTGTCGTCGAGTGAAGGAGAACTGTTCTTCATACCCGTTCACATGATTGCCCTTGGGACTGGGTGGAGTGCTAGACCCATGCGTGTGTGCACAGTGCAAAGGTGTGCTTTGGGTGGGCGGGGGGATTGGCATGTGTGCGCCCTCTGCAAAAGGACTTTGGGTGACCTGGTGGTCAACCTGAGCTCGAGTAGCGTGTTTGGCCTTAAGAGGCTCGGTGCCGTGAGCATGTGTGTGTGATGGGATGGCCATGTGACTATCCCTCACAGAGTAAACAGACATGTGCTAGGAGGGGGTACTAAGAGGTTCCCCCTCATATGCTCGGGCAGACGTAGCAATAAGGCTACCTCGAGCGATGTAGTGCATATGCAAGGGGTGCGCATGGTTGAGTCCAAGAAGAGCCGAACCCTGACAGTGTCCCGAGGTAACGTGAGGGTTGCCCCAAGTGGTGTGATGTACATGCAAAAGAGGTGCAGGGCTCGGTTCATGAAGACTCGAACCCTGACAGTGTCTCGATATAACCTGAGGGTTGCTCCGAGTGATAGAAAATGAGAGGTAGCCTCTCGGCTACCGGCAGGAGCAACGACAAATGAACTGTCAGTCGTGGGAGAGGGAGGGGCCGCCTCATGCAATGGGACCAGCACGTGAGTTGCCGGTAGCAGGGTGCATGCTGTGTGTGGTGGCATATGTGCCACCAATGCAGGGTGCATTGGCAGAGGGTCCACCATTGCAAAGAGGTAGGGAGCGAGAGACTTTTAGGTCCATCCTCACCTCTTTCCAGGTGATGACCTGGGAGCGCGACATAGGTGTGTATAGTGAGCAGGAATAAAAAGAAAGAAAGGCCAAATAAGAACGATCCAACGATGTGGTAGCGTGGCTCTAGGAGAGTGGTTAGGTACCTCGATCTTGCCCTCCGCATCGGGCTGACCTGGTGGCATGGTTTCGGGTTCGAAATGGACCCAAGACCTGAGATCGCTCTCTCGAGAACCATGTAAAGAAGACGTAAGCAAGAGTACCAACCGGTGAGAGAGGAATCAAGGTCGTGAGGTGGGACTTACCTCACGTGGGTCCGTGACACGCTCAGGCTGGTTCATGTGGCCACCCTCTTAGATAACATTGGAGTGCCATCTGGCCTGTGGCCAGTTTGAAATCGCCTCCCTTGACCTGTTTCTCCTTTCCTGCAACCACACAGATATAAAAAATACAGAGGTGTGGGTCATAAGACCCCACCTTGCTTTAAAGAGATAAAAGAAGTGAAAATAAGAGAAGAACTTCAACTAGACGGTTAGGTTGGTACAGTGGCTAGACCAGTATGGTAGCTGATTTTGTGTGGTAGCAAGATAAGAACGGTAACTCAGACTGGCACGACGGCAACACTACTCGACGATAGAACCAACACCGACCAACCTAGCACGATGGTGAGTCTGACATGGCAGCAAGACCGGTACGGTAACTCAGACCCGTAGGTTGGTAATATTGCTTGACGAAAGAACTGGCACAATGACTAGTCTGACGCGGCAGCCAGACTGGCACGGTAACTCAGACTAGCACGACGACAATACTGCTCGACGACAAGATTGACACGACAGCTCAAGGCTCAACCTGTCCTCTGGTAAAACAAGCGATGGAGAGAAAAAGAGGAAGTGAAGACTAGCTTGATTCTCGCTAGGTCTTCTAAAAAAGATGAAAGTGAAATAAAAGTGATGATGAAATAAGAATGATAGAAAACAAAGTGAAATGAAAATGAGAGATGAATTAAACGTCCAAAACGAAGTTAATGAATACTCCAAACGAAGAGAAAGAGGCGAAAGGGAAGAGTAGATTTCATTTGGACGTTTAGAGAGAGAGAAACGGGAGGAGCTAGCTCACTATTGGGTTTTTTGTGAGAGGATGAGACGAAAACGAAAGTCACGAAAACTTAACACTAAAAGAAAACAACGAAAAAGGGAAGAGTGGGTTTTTGTTTAGAGAGAGAGTGAGAGCCGAAGGCAGGGTGAAGGAAGATAATGTGCTGTAAAAAGGGTGAAAGAATAGGGGGAGAGACTTGGACGAAAACGCGCTAAAGGAGGGGGAACGAAACATTGACGAAAAAAAAACAGTCAAACGAGGGAAGGTAAGTGTTTTGTTTGTGGGTTTTCTTTGGTAGATTCTTAGAGAGAAAGCTCAGAGAATGGGGAGTGCGCGAGGTTTCTGAAGGTCGCAGAGGGCAGCAGGAAGACGAGAGTAGAAGAGACGGAGATTACTGGATGCGAGGTGGCGGAATTGATGGCATTTGGGTGGCTGAGCAGCAGAGGATTAGATGGGTGAGAGACAGGCAGAGAAATTGGTATGGCGGAAGTAGCAGCCGAGGTTGGGAGGACAGCAGAGAGAGTTGGTTGAAGAGCAGTAGCGTGGCTGAGCTAGGCATCCGAGAAGAGGAGAGAGAGAGCAGCAGAGGTGGGGTGATAGTGGAGGAGGAGGAGGAGGGAAGAAGGGAAGCGAGGGAGGTAGGCGTTGGGCTGCTGTTCTGAGATGGGGTGGCGGAGGTGGCAAACAGGCAGCCGCCTAGCTCAGGTAAGTTAAGAGAGAGACAGGGGAGGCAGGGTAGCAGGCAGCAGACGAAAGAAACAGACGAAGAAAGAGATGGTGAAGGGGTACGAATGGTGGTCAATAAAGAGAGGGGTGCTAAGAGAGGGCGGAAATGGTTACTGCCTGTAGCAGTAGACTAAAAAAAGGGAAAGTGGAAAGAGGGTGATTGAGGAGAAGAGAGCAGAGAGAGGGGGTGCATCACGTTGGGTTTTTAGAGAGAGAAAGAATGGGAGGTTGCACAAGGAAAAAAGATAGGAGAGAAAGGGGGAGGTGAGAAAAGGCGGAAAGAAAGGGGAAGGCGAGAGTAGATGGGAGTAGGTGACGGGTAGAGAAGAGTTAGGCCGGCAACAGAGACTGCTGCTTGGTTGCGAAGAGTTAAAGAGAGAGGGTAGCAATAGGAGAGAGAGAATGGAAACGGTAGGCATGGCTGTGACGAGATGGTTGGGGGCAGCAGAAGGAAGTCGAGATGGCGAGATGTGGTGAAGAGCAGGGCGACAGGAAGACGAGGGTGAGGTGGCTGGTGAGCGGCTGAGATGGAGAGGCCAGAGAGAGTGGAAGGCAGGGTGAGGAAGTTACGTACAGCAGGTTGTGGTCACGGGGCTTTGTGGTGAAGAAGGTTCGGTGGTGCACGGCAGCGGGGTTTGGGTCGTGCACGGCGATGGAGGTGTGGGTCACGGCGATGAGTTGTGGACTTTACGCACGGCATTGGGTGGAGTTCACTCGTAACGATAGGGCACGCGGCGATGGGTCGTGGGATTCACATTTGCGAGAGTTTTGGGAGGCGATGAGTTGTGGACTTTACGCACCACGATGGGGTAGAGTTCACACGCGGCGATGGGTTGTGGGATTCACACATTGCGAGAGTTTTGGGAAAAAGTGGTTGTGCAAGACTAAGGCGCGTGAGAAAAGAAAATAAATAAATAAATAAATAAATAAATAAGAAAGATAAAATAAATAAATAAATAAGAAGGATAGCCAGAGTTTTGGAAAATGTGGTTGTACAAGGCCACGGATCGTGAGAGAGAAAAAAAGGGACACGAGAGTACAAATCAAGGGTAAGGTGATGGATCGTAATAAAAGAAGGGCATGAAGGTATGATAGGTGGGATTACCAAAAAAAAATAAAGAGAAGGTGGACTCGAAAGTGCATAGGGAGCAAGTGATCGTGCAGTGCACAGGGAGCAAGTGATCGTGCAGGGGTAAAGAAAAAGAAAGGAGAGAAATTGTGGTGATGGCATATCATAAGGAGGGAGAGGAGAAGGTTGTAGTCGTGAAGGACCACAAAGAAGAGGGAAGAGGAAGGTCGATGGAAGAAGAGACGGAAAAAGAGAAGGAAAAAGAGTGAAAAAGAGGAGAAAAGAGGGAGAAAAGAGAGAGAAAGAGAAGAGAGAGGAGAGAGAGAGAAAGAGAAGAGAGAAGAAAAAAAAAAGAGAGAAGAGAGTAGGGAGGAAAGAGAAAAGAGAAGAAAGAGGGAAGAGAGAAAGAATAGAGTGAAGAAAGAGAAACAGGGAAGAAAGAAAGAGAGAAGGGAGAGAAAGAGAGAAGTGAGAGAAAGAGGAAAGTTATCTTAAGCCTAAGGGTATTGGCCCAAAAATTTTTATCTCTTTCTTCTCTCTCTAAAAACATGACCCATAATGAAGACAGACAGCAATTTTATTAAGCCAAATAGGTCCCTTGTACAATGATATCACGTGATATATATACTCTTGTCTAAAATTACAATTTAATTTATTTAAAAGAAGTTGTAAAAATGGGGACAAAATGATGATTTTGTCCGTGTCCAACAATACACAAAATTTCAAAAGAGTCCATGTTGCACCATTGGAACGTGTGCGATTTTTCTAAGCCGATTCGGGGTTGCTCCGGCGTTTATCCGACCAAAAGCTTATTGTTTTCTCATTGAGCTCGAAATGACGATCGATTTGATACCCATTTCAAGTCACAGCTCACGTTTTTAGGCCACGATCATACGACGTGAAATTTGCACGAATCTTGCAATTTTTGGATCGAGATTGCACCCGATTCTTGACGTGTCTTGATGATTTCTGCTGAATTATACTGAGCACGTCATCACGATCGTTTTGCACCAAACACTGCTCGATTTTGTACCCGAATGAAGATTTTGCACTTTTGGGGTTTTGGCCAGAATTTGGAATTCGGCAGAAGAAAATTACTACAACTTCATTGGCTTTGCACGTGAAATCTGACCATGCATCACACTTGATGTTCGGCCCAGATGTAGCTTCATACCTTACACACGCGATGGAACTGATCTCGAGTCAATCCGATGCGCGAGCGCCGTGATATGGCTGCCCAAGCGAGACGCGTCGCTGTTGAATTTTCTGCAACTTTTGTCGTGACTCGTCTTCTTCTCTCTAGCTTTTCTCTGTGCCTGAGCATCATCATGGGGCATGTCACATATCAAAACGCTCGTCCTGATGAGACGAACACGGTCGCAAAATTTGAGCATGAACCGACAGGTAACGAGGTAGATATGAGTCTCCGAAGTTGCTGCTCGCGACTATGCAAACCAATCTCCTTTAATGGAGATTAGTGCAGAGAGGCCGAATGGGAATATCGTGCGACCTACCAATTTTTAATATTTCACCCATAACTTTGTCTTGGAAAGTATATTTAAGCCGAAACTTGACCCCTATAGGTTTTCGACCGTGTCGGATCCAATGGCGGTGGTCCCACAACCATTTGACACTCCAAAAATAGTATTCTAGTTACGGGATCCGTTTCAGGGTGCTAGAGGATGATTTTTCCAAAATTATTTCTTTGTCTACACTGCCTTTAACATGTCAGAAACTTGGCAGGTAGCCTTTTGGAGTCGTTAGGAAGATTTTCACCTGTTCTGGGGCAATTAGGAAGCTGTATAAAATTACACTGTATGTCTGGGCTTTATTGATCGGCTTCTCATTTATTCCACATCGGAGACCCAAGGTACTGAAAAATTTGTTCAAACATTAGGTGGTTCGAGCTTTAAGGTAGTTGTCCCAGGGATACTTTACTCTTCTCATGGGTTTCTCGATTAGGATTACAAGGTCTATAATAGATATGTTTGATTTAAAATACTTTTGGACTTTTAAATTTTATAATTAGATAAGAGAATAGAATCTCAAGCCATCCTAAAAATTCTCGACACCAAACTGCATCTTATGACAAATGCCTTACATTGATTTTTTGAGGTTACAACCTTATACAAACCTCACCTTTCTACAAAAGTACACTGAAAGTTTTGAAGTTGGTGTTGTGGAACTTTATTCATAGAGTTTCCTCGTCTTTTAGTAAAATTTCAACTTTACCTCATATGAAGATAACAAAAGTATCCCAAATCTTTTAGTGATAATTTATTAATACAACCTTAATTGACCACCAAGACACCACAAAAAAGTCACTTTTCTTTTAAAATATAAGTCACTAAAACCACCATTCACAAATCATTCTTACATTAACATGTATATTTTAGATAGTTGTGTATTGTAGAATATTAACACACACACACATATCTTGAGATTTGCCCACTAGCTCATATCTACATATGAGCCCAATGACTCAAATTGAATATGGGCAAATCTGACGGTCACGACCTCATTTCATATTTGAATTTTATTTTATTTTTTACAAATTCAAATCATTTGAAATTTTAAGCGTGTATTCTTCAAAACTAGGAGAATCTAATAAAAATATCAAAAAATATGTGTGTGTGTGTGAGTGTGTGTGCGTGCGTATGTGTGTGTGGTTGTGTGAGTGTTTGTGCGTGCGTATGTGTGTATATGTGTGTGATTGCTGCATACCAATGAAGCTGAAGTACAAGTTCTATAAGATAATGGTGAGGCTAGCTTTACTCTATAGAGTAGAATGTTGAGCAGAAAAAAAACAATATAGCTAATAATGAATGTAGTGGAGATGATGATGTTGAGATGGATGAGTAGTAAGATAAGAAGGGATAGAATTTGAACTGAATCTATTCTAGAGAATTTAGGCGTGGAACCAATAGGCCGTAAAATAAGAAAGAGTAGACTTAGGTGGGCTGGCCATGTGTGGCACCGACCAAGTACAACACTTGTTAGGAGGTGCGAGTTTGTGCAAGTGAAATGAGTAAAAATGGCAAGGGGAAGCCCAAAAAGACGTGGTTGGAAGTAGTCCGAAAATATATGGGGACTTATGGCCTCGCTGAGGATATGGCCTTTACTATAACAAAATGGACAAAATTTTATTGGAAGAGGTTGTTTCGATACCCAAATATCCTCAAGGTTCTAAAGAATCAAATTTGAGCCTACCTCAAAAATTTCACTGGAAGAGGTTGTTTCGATACCCAAATATCCTCAAATTGATCATCTCAACAACAATATGCATTGACATAAGAAAAAAAATGAATTTCAAGTTTTGGAAATAGTATATTTTGTAACGCATTTTTAGACCGTCAATTTTCAAGATTTTCAAGTTTTCATAGATATATTGATCTACATTATTTTTTAAGCATTAAACTTTATAAATAGAAATAAAAAGGCATTTTAAAACTATCACAAAGATTTCCATTATTGAAACCACATTTCTCGACACTATTTGAAGGTAGGCTCTAATTTGATTGTTTAGAGCCTAGGTTCCATACATACCGTACCGCAACTCATATATATATATATATATATATATCTAAGAAAATATTACAAAATGCTTATAGGTGAAGTTCGATAGTACTTCTTCACCTACGGCTTTATCATCATTCAAAGTTTATCACATGGTGACAAATATTTGATAGTATTTGAATTTAATATTTATTTTACAAATCATAATGATATGAAACTTGTAGGTGTGTGTGACTTAGTGAGATGCTCATGAATAAAATATAAAACTAATACTTTGAATGACAAAACTTATGCAAAATACCCTATAAATTTTCAGGGGTAAATTTATCATTTTATTTTATGATTGTTATTTTTTTAATATTTTATTTTGGTGCGACTTGGTCATATGTACATAGCCCCAAATTTTGGATAAATCTGATTATTTCAATAATTATAAAAATTCAAATCCTACTGGACAACTGTGACCGTGTGATGAACTTTGGACGGTGATGAGGTGTAGGTGAAGTACTGTAGAACTTCACCTATATGCGTTTTGTAGGTGCTTCCATATATATATATATATATAAAATATGTAAACCTTATACCATAGAAGTAAAATGCACCACAAAAATTCACACAAAAAAGGTTGTTTAGATATCATAAATCCCTACAATTGATAATCTTGACCTAGAGACGTATGGATATGAAAAAAAAAAAAAAAGACTTCAAGTCTTAGAATTAATTCATTTTGTTTGATATTACACCATCTCTGAAATTTAAGGCCTCGATCTTGAAATTTAACAAATGGACAGTCGAGATTCATTGTTGGAAGGTATTAAATTTGACCATATCTAGGGTGCAAATTGAATTTTATTTTTCATAGGATTGATTATGAGGATGAAGCGAATGTGCATGCAATATTTCATACAGATGCTAAAAAATGGTTTTCTAGAGGTGTGGTTTCATTTTATTACAACGTTACGGTTGCATGAAATCATTCCCCTATATATATATATATATATATATATATATATATATATAGTATATATATATATATATATATTACTTATTAGTAGTGACGACCACACT